GGGAGCTGTGCTCTTCAACATATTCATAAATGATCTGGAAAAGGGGTTAACGAGTGAGGTGGCAAGTTTGCAGACCATACAAAATTACTCATGATAAGTCTAAAGCTGACTATAAAGAGTTACAAAAGGATCTCTACAAAGCTGGGTGACTGGATGATAAAATGGCGGATGAAATTCAATGTTGATAAATGCAAAGTAATGCACACTGGAAAACAAAATCGCACTATAGTTACAAAATGATGGGGTCTAAATTAGCTGTTACCACTCAAGAAAGATCTTGGAGACATCCTGGATAGTTCTCTGAAATCAGCCACTCAAGGTGCAGAGGCAGACAGAAAAAGTTAACAATGGCAAGAACCATTAGGAAAGTGATAGATAACAAAACAAAACATTGTAATGCCACTATATCATTATATCAATGTTCCCTCACCTTGAATACTGTGTGTAGTTTCAGTCACTCCATCTCAAAAAAGATATATTAGAATTGGAAAGGGCATAGAGAAGGCAACAAAAATGATTAAGAGGAGGGAACAGATTCCATACAAGAAGAGATTAAAAAGACTGGGACTGTTCATCTTAGAAAAGAGATGACTAAGGGCAATATGATAGAGGTCTATGAAATCATGAATGATAGGGAGAAAGCAAATAAAGAAATACTATTTACCCCCTCATGTAACTCAAGAACAATGAAATTAATAGGCAGCAGGTTTAAATAAAAAAAAGGAAGTATTTCTTCACAGAACCCATAGTCAACCTGGGAAACTCATTGCCATAGGTTGCTGTGAAGGCCAAAAGTATAACGTTTCAAAAAAGAATTAAGATAAGTTCATGAATGATAGATCCATCAATGACTGTTAACCAAGATGGTCAGGAATACAACCCCATGCTCTGGGTGACCCTAAAACTCCAACTTCCAGAAGCGTGGAGTGAACAACAGGGGATGGATCACTCAAAATTGCCCTAGTCTGTTCATTCCCTCTGAAGCATCTGTCAGAGACAGCATACAGGGCTAGATGAACCATTGATCTGTCCCAGTATGACTTTTCTTATGTCCAGTGAGGAAGTTCATGTTGCTTTGAGATCTTGAGCTTTTGCATTTCCTGATTTTTAATGTCTTTAAATTTGCAAACTTAACATTATCTGTACATAGTGTTTTGCATGTAATATCTAAACATTGTCTGTACATGAAGTGCATGAGGAATCATAACTATATTCATCCACAAACACTGCATTCTAAGTGAATAAATGACAAAGGATAGTCAAACAGAATTAGGTTTATTTTTAAATAAAAAATCATCCGGTACAAAAGTGGAGGTGGTTCAAGGTTTGCCTTTTTGCTCCCAAGACCAGAGGCTTGAACTTCAGATTAGGAACAGAACTAGATAGACTATCCTCACAAACTAAAGAAAGGAATAATACATAGATACAGGAAGGCAGAAAAGTGAGACATGCATGTTAAGTTACAAGAAGGCAGACAAGAAAAAATACTCCAATGACTAGACACTCTTGTTCATAAAAGAAATTAGGTCACTGAGGACTTTTATCTAGGGGAAAAGAATAGAGTGGAAAGATGGGGTCGGGGGTGCTAGGTTACAGAGAGATAAAATGAGGCTAACATCCGTGAGCCTGAAGCAACAGTGGAGCTACACTTTTTTTAGTCTTTGCAGGAAAGATAATTTAATTTATATAACACTCTTCCTTCAGAAGGATCTCATGGAATAATAGAAATTAAAAATGGAAAAAATCTTTTAGGCATCATCTCACTGTACTGTTCCCATCTCACTGGGTGTTCCTTATAGTTTAATTTCTAGTATATTTTAAATATCTCCAATGATGGGCTGTCTCAGGTTCACTTGTACTAGAAAACAAGCCCACCATCATTTTACAACAACATATTGATATTTAACTCAAGATAGCCATCGGGATTTTAAACACTGAAAAACAATTCTTCACTGACTCAACCAAAAAGGTATAGTCAGAGTGAGGCCCAGGATGAGGCCAGGCCTCTTGGGTTAAGATGGGGGACGTGCTTCCTCCCTTATCCCAGCCCCACCCAGAACTGGACCCTAGAAGAAGCAGCCAGCCCTTTTCATCTTACCTGCTGGGCTGTGATTGACTAGTATGGAAATGGGGGCATTGTAAGAACCAAGGTAGATATTTTCATATTTAGTTATTTTATCTCTTTCCTCATAAATTAGTCATTCCTGGCCATATTCATTTGGGCCCCAATCCTGCATTTTGCAAAGCCTGTGTGGAGCCTGATTGCCTGTACACAGTAAATTGCAGTATTAAGGCTTTTGGTCTTCTCCGAATTCCCACCAGTGAGTTCTTCTCTGGTGATGCAATACATGCAAATGGATGCAACATCACACAAACTGTATGCCTCTATGCTCTGTCATGCCTCTGCAACCCAAAATTACATTGACCTTTCTTGGTGTCATATAGAATTGCAAAAATCACCTCTAATTTGCTATCCACAATCATCCCAAAGCCTGTTTTGGCATCACCGATTTCCAGGATTCTGGTCTCTCATCAAAAATGTTTCTGATTATTTATCTCAAGGAATATTAGTTTATATATGCCCCAGTTGTATCTCATTTTATTGTTTTCTGTCCATATTTTTAACCTCTCTTGGACCCTTTGTCCTTTCATCCTTCTCCTGGTCTCCTGTCTCACTCTTGAGACCTTTGCTACTCCTGGGGGAATTCTGCGTCCCTGCATGGGAGCAGAATTCACGTCCCCTGCAGATTTCTGTGCTTCCCTGCAGAAGAATGACGTTCTGACGGGGAAGCAAAGGGAAGCCACAAGAGCGGTCATACGCCCCTCCCCAGCAGCACAGGTGCATTGTTTCGGGCTTTTGGATTAGCTGGTGGAGAGGTAAATCACCGTGTGCGGGAGGGGCTGCTGATGTCCTGGCTGGTGGCTTCTGCCCTGAGCCAGGCTCAGCTGCTAGTCCCAGCTGGGCTGGGGAGGACAGGACTTGCTCTTCCCCTGCAAAGGAGCGGCTAGGTCAGACCCACTCCCAAAAACCTCCCCTGGCTGCAGGAAGCTGTGTATCTCCCTCCTCCTCCTCCCTCCGTTTCTTGTCCCCATTGCTCCTCAGCTGTGGAGGGAGGAGTCACTGTACGAGGAGCTGCCCCCTCGCTGCCCAACCCCTGGTGTATGGATCCCCAATACCCAGCCTCCCCCGCTAAGCCTCACCCCCTGCACCCAGAACCCCTCCCTGAGGCACCCACACCCAAACCCCAGTCTGCCGAGCTCAACTCCCTGCACCTGGAGCCTCACCGCTGAGCCCCGCCACACCCCTACCCCTGCACTCAAACTCCCTGAACCCCCTGCACTCAAACTCCCACCCCAATGAGCCCCCCCGTGCCCCACCCCCTTCCCCCTACCCCCCCCTTGCACATTGCCCCTGGACCTGGAACCCCCCCAACGAGACCCTGTGCATCCAGATCCTCCCCACACCCAGACCCCATCCCCACTGAGCCCCAACCAGCTGCACCCCGACACCTACCCCAGCAAGCACCCACCCCACTCCCCTGAACACCCAGATCCCATCCCCACTGAGCCCCAACCAGCTGCACCCCGACACTCACCCCAGCAAGCACCCACCCCACTCACCCCAACATCCAGATCCCTGCCTACTGTGCCCCCCATACCCAGTCCCCTCTGTTAACCTCAACCACCTTCCCCTGGATCTCCTGCAGAGTCCCATTGCCTCTGCACCCAGAACCCCGCAATGAACCCCTGTGCATCCAGCTCCCCCCTGCACCCAGACTCCCCCACTGAGCTGCCCAGATTGCCCCACACAGAACCCTCTCCCCCCACAATGGCAACCCCCACACTAAGCCCCTCCTAAGCTGGGATGAGCCTGCCTGCCCACACCTGGTGTACCTGGTGTCGAGGGGCAGGGCCAGACCCCAGGGGTGTTTTGGGGGCAAGCCTGGCCCTTGTGCTGTGTCAGGGTCAGGTGCAGCCTCACCACTGAGTTCATGCCCCTGCACTTGGAATCCCCCAATGAGCCCCTGTGCGAGGGGGACTGCAGGGTGATCTCCCACCTCCATGCAGCCAGTGGCTTGTGCTCCCCACTGCCATGCTGGAGCCTCCAAATTTATTTATTGACAAATAAAATTTGCAGAATTTTAAACTATGTGCAGAATTTTTATTTTTTTGGTGGAGTATTTCTGTTCCCTTCTTTGACACGTTGTCCCCTCATACACTTTACTCTGGTTCCTATTAATCTTATCTCACTTTCTGGGGTCCCTGTTTCAATTAGCTCCTCAGAGACATGCATTGCTGTCACTACGCCTTCTCCGGAACTTCCCCATTCTCCCTAGCTGTCATCCGAGCTCAGCACTGTACTGCATCCCTTTTCCTGCCAGTGGAACATCACCCAAAACTTTCTTCTTGCGGGTTGAACAGAAGTGGAGCGGGAAACATATCGCTACTATACATATACACTTGTACTGATACAGAAAAGCGAATGATAGCCCCCCAAGTGTATTGTGACTCCAGGAGGCACAGAGGCCAACAGCTGTCAGTAGCTCCAATTCACAACCCAGCATTTTAGCACAGGTTAGATACTCGTCAAGGCTACAGTGCAATTGAACTGTGCAGTTCACTGACGGGTGGTTGAAGGCTGATCCTGGTGCTGTCACACTCATAGAGCGACCCCCCCCCCCCGTCCTACAGAGAGAAGCGGAGACTGTGGCACCCACAGAGCAAAATCCCCCCGCAACCTCTCCCCCCACAGGGCAGGGGAGAGACGGACCCGCTTGGGGCAGGTTCACTCGGTCCCTGCCTCTCGGGGCCCGGGCCTGCTCCCATGGAAGCTGATGGCGAAGCGCTGGGACCCGGGGCAAACGAGATCACAACCACGCGCCGGGGCGGCTCCCAGCGCCGCGCTCCCTCCCCGGGCAGCCCGAGCCCGGCCGGCACCAGTTTCCGGTGGGACGCTGTGCCTCGGCGTTTCCTTTCCCCCCGGCCTGCCGCTTCCCCAATCCCCGCCTGCCCGGTGCGCGTCTCCGGCCCGGCCTCCCCATGCAGTCCCGGCTTCTGTGCTTCAGCGGCGGCCCCGCAGCGCGGAGAGTCCGGCTCATTCTGCAGCAGGTGGTGCGGGGCCGCCTGGCTGCGGAGAGGCAGCTGCAGCCGGAGGTCAGGGCGCTGCACGGCCCGGGAGCCGCCGCAGGTAACTCCCCTCCCCCCCACGGGTTAATGGGGCTGTGACTCCCCCCCCCAACACTAGCCACTTCTACACCCCCGTCAGCTCCCAGTGCCCCCAAACTCCAGCCCCCATCAGCTCCCAGAGCCCCCAAACGCCAGCCTCCTCCACGACCCCGATCCAACCATCAGCCCCACCGTCTTCAAATTCCAGCCCCCTCCACACCCCACTGCCTGCAAAGCCAACTACCATCAGCCCCCACTG